AACTCGTCACATTCAGATGCTATGCGGGTGGACGTCGTAAGTCGGATATTTGTGAGACAACGGGACTGAGTAAACATCAGAAGGTTATTCTGGTGACAAGGTGGAAACAGTTAACGCAACAGATGATCCTTGATGCGGGTCAACGTGTCTTTGAGACGATCTTTCAGAGAGATCCGTATTTGTTGAGTATTATTCACTTGGAGCATTTACAAGGCACCGATGGGTGGCGTAATCATGCTAACTTCAATCTACATGCACAGGTTGTATTCACTGCGGTCGTTCTTGCGTTATTGTACAATTTTGACCAGATGAAACACGATTTAACTCAACATTGAGCCGAATAAGAAGGCTGATCATTTTTTGAGAATAATGATCTATCAATATCTGTTATTTATTACTTGTTGACAAGCACTATCTCATCAGACATTCTCTTGCTCTAGGAAATGGACGCCTGACTCCCCAGAACATCTGGTACTTGAAGTCGATTTTTGTAATCGCTTCTACTCCCCTCCCTCTATTGGGTTCCTTCTCTAACCTCAAAGTAAAATCAAAGTTGAAGCACACGCTCAGGATGATACCAAAACAGTACTTACCATTGATATTTCATTAAATTTTCACTTAATTCAATCGTTTCCTCTTTGTAGCGATTCTCACACACATTGACACAGTGTATGCAAAACATTATGGAACCATATATCGCAGCTGATCTCTTACAAGAATTCGGTGCAGCGTATGCCGAAGAGGAGGACAGTGAGATGGAGTTGCGTGATAATATACCACACAGCTACTGGGATCGTCTCAGTTCAGCGATCACTTCAACTGTCAAGGAACTACTCGACAGTTTAACTCCGAAAGGTACGACCAATCATGTAGAGTACACCTCCTCATTTCTTGATCACGTGAATCGATCTCAACCCGTTTGAATGTTGAATTTCATATGATTTTCTTATGAAGTGAATACGTTATTTTTCGCATTCAAATTGAATCATATGATGCATTTTGTCGAAGTCAGTGAAATCCACTCTTCTCTTAACGTCCTTCCAAGCCCATTTTCCAAATCTCGAGTTACAAAATGCATACAACATCTAAAAGTGTTTCTTTTTGGAACAGATGGGCGTAACACACTCAGCGTTAATGATGCGTTGTTGGTGAATAAAGACAGACTTGCATTGCAGGTAGAACTTTTTTTTAAAAATCAAATTTAAATACCAAAATCGCTCTTTTAAATTCGATTTTAATCATTATTTAGTTAGGTGTATGGTATGTATAAAATTGGCGCATTGGAAGATTTCGACTTCTAAACAACAAAAAAAAGGAAACAATTTCAGAGTAATTCGACAGATATTTGTGCATGGAATGTGTTTGCGATGTTCGTATCAAATCAAATTCGATTCGGATACGAAATGGAACGAATGTTACGTGCTGAATTACGGAAACTCGGTTTAAGAAATCAAAGAAAAACTGCTTAAGGTTTATTTTGAAGCGAATGCTCAATTGATCTCATTTGTGTTCGCTTTGCATTGGAACAACTTTTAT